GGAGGTTAGGTCGTAGGTTAACGGGAGGTTAGTTTTAGGTAGGCTTGGGGTTCGGTCGGGGCCAGAGAGGGTGGCCCAAATTAACACCAGGAGACCTCCAAATTCGTTCTCTCTCACATAAACTTGATCGTAAATCACTCTAATCCACGATAGTTATCAGGTACTTGCAATTTGGGGACTTAGGTGTAGTTTACTTGATAGGTTCAGGTTAGGTAGTTAGGTTGTTAGGTTAGGGTCGGCTCAAATTTACCATGGAGAGCTCCAAATTTCGTTTTCTCACTAACTGATCGTAAATTCATCTTATAATCCACGTGGTTTACAGTACCTCCAATTTGGGGAGTGTTAGGGCGGTTAGGTTACGTTGTTAGGGGTGGTTGGTTAGGTTAGGTTAGGTTAGGTTTTTAGTTAGGCTCTAAATTTAACGCAGGAAGAGATATCCAAATTTCGTTTAGTCCCCTCCTCCTCTCACATCAACTTGATCGTAAATAAACTCTTCACGAAAGGTTTACAGTACCTGAAATTTGGGGAGGGGTTAGTTAGTTTAGTTTGGTCTTAGGTAGGTTAGTTTAGGTTAGTTAGGTTAGTTCAGGTTGGCTCAAATTTTAACTGGGACTCCAATATTTCGTTTTCTCACATAACTTGACACGTATCAACTCTAATCCACGATAGGTTACAGTACCTGCAATTGGGGAGGTTATGTTAGGTTACGGTTGTTTTAGGGTGGTTTAGGTTAGGAATAGGTTGGGTAGGTTTAGGTTAGGTTGGTTAGGTCTTAAATTTAACCAGAAGACTCCAAATTTCGTTTTCTCACATAAACTTGATCGTAAACACTCAATCACGTAGTTAGTACCTGCAATTTGGGGAGGTAGTTAGGTTACGTTGGTTAGGTTAGGTTAGGTTAGGTTAGGTTCGGCTCAATTTAACCAGAGACTCCAAATTTCGTTTCTCACATAAACTTGATCGTAAATCACTCTAATCCACGATAGGTTACAGGTACCTGGCAATTTGGGGAGCGTTAGGTAGGTTACGTGTAGTTAGGCTTAAGGTTATTATGTAGGTAGTTAGCTTGGCTCAAATTAACCAGGGAGACCCAAATTTCGTTTCGTCATCATACTGATCGTAATCACTTACTCACGATAGGTTACAGTATCTGCAATTTGGGGACGGTTAGTTAGGTTACGTTGATTAGGTTAGGTTAGTCTTAGGTTAGGTTAGGTTAGGTTAGGTTCGGCTCAAATTTAATCTCAGGAGACTCCAAATTTCGTTTTCTCACATAAACTTGAATCGTAAATTACTCTAATCCACGATAGGTTACAGTACCTGCAATTTGGGGGAGGTAGGTTAGGTACGCTTGGTTAGGTAGGTTAGGTTAGGTTAGGTTGGTTAGGTTGTTAGGTCAAATTAACCAGGAGAACTCCAATTTCGTTTTCTCAGCATTGATTAAATCTTGTTTACATGCGTAAATCATCTAATCCACGATGGTTACGTACCCTGCATTTGGGGAAGTTAGTTCGGTTACGTTGGTTAGGTTAGGTTAGGTTTGGTTTAGGTTTAGGTTAGGTTAGGGTTAGGGCTCAATTCTACCAGAGANCGGCGTGGCGGGGCGGCGTGCGCTCGCCATTGCGCTCGGCCGCCCGCGAAGGGCGTGGGGGCGCGGCGTAGACATGCGTCTCATGAAACGCGCTTCTGCTTCTTCAACGCTTTATTCCACGCGTGTCGAAGTGATAATATAATTATCTCGATTAATTGCCCTTTCGCGTGTAATCCTCAAGGAATCGCTTTCCGGTTTACGTCGGGGTGATTTAGTTCTTATGGACGGATTCGATCGAGTCTGAATCCGGTTCAGGTGGCCTCCTCCGAGCCTCGTGAATGTGCAAGGGTTCACAGGAAGCCCCGAGAAACTCTTAAAATGGTTCATAGGATGCACCTGTGCTTGGGGTACTTAGCTATTGTTCATCATATGTGCTCTGGTTCTCCTTGATGTGTATTGCTTCATGTATAGTGTTCAGGTACTCGGACTCATGGAGTAATCTGGTTCTCAAGGATGCAGCCTACTCTTTCTCGTGTGCTTAAGTCCTCAGATTCTAGGTGATGTGGTCGGTTCTCGTGGTTTTAGACCATTTTAGTCTCAGAATAGTCTGAGGACTTCGAGGAAAGCGGCCCTGGTTATTAGCAGCGCTTTCAGTCTAATTTTCTAGTTTATTAGATGTCTTCCGGTTTTAGGGATACATTCAAAGTTAATTTGGTATACTTAGAAAAACGTTTTTCTTAACGCTTGTTCCAGAGATATACTATTTCTTCTTATTGTTGTTATGTTGTTGATGTTGTTATCTATATATTTTTTAACTCGTTTTACTCAAATTAGTCTGATATGCTTCTCGTCAGTGTGTTTATATGATGCACAGTGTGTTCATGCTGTATGTGGCATTCTCACTCCAATGCCAAGGCAGGACATGGTGTTTATCCAGGTAGTTATGCCTTGTCCCATCTAAGCATTGCAGTTTTACGTTGCTTGCCAAACCGAATATTACGAAGGACTTCAAGTAGAGTGAATGTGGCTTAGGTTAGGTTAGGTTAGGTTAGGTTAGGTTACGTTAGGTTAGGTTAGGTTAGGATAGGTTTGGTTAGGTTAGGTTAGGCTAGGTTGGTTAGGTTAGGTTATGTTTGGTTAGGTTAGGTTAGGCTAGGTTAGGTTAGGTTTGGTTTGGTTAGTTTAGGTTAGGGTAGGTTAGGTTAGGTTGGTGAGGTTAGGATAGGTTGGTTAGGTTAGGTTATGTTTGGTTAGGTTAGGTTAGGCTAGATACGTATTATAGTTATGAACAAGAATGAATTTATAGACGAGCAGAGTAATATATGTACACCCTTCACTAAAAGAAACGTGTAAATGTTATTCATTTTCACCCATTCATTTTCTGTAACGTTTAAATTTTCATCTTAATGAAGAGTCAGCATAAGGTCGGAAATGGTTTTGTTGACTTAACAGATTTATCAAAACTATATGTATATATATATTTTTTTTTTTTTTTTTTTGAAAAGCCTACAGAGGGAAAAGATAGATAGATATACATATATGTGTGTGTGTATTTGTGTGAATACATATATACATGCGCACACACACAAACACACACATACACAATACCCACACCCATACACACATACACACACACACACACACACACACACATATGTATATCTATCTATCTTTTCCCTCTGTAGGCTTTTCAAAAAAAAAAAAAAAAAAAAAATATATATACATATAGTTTTGATAAATCTTTTAAGTCAGCGAAACCATTTCCGACCTTATGCTGACTATTCATTAAGATGAAAATCTAAACGTTACAGAAAATGAATGGGTGAAAATGAATAACATTTACACGTTTCTTTTAGTGAAGGGTGTACATATATTACTCTGCTCGTCTATAAATTCATTCTTATTCATAACTATAATACGTATCTAACCTAACCTAACCTAAC